ATTGCCCATTCTTCCTTGCAGCAAATGTTTCAGTTTTCTTGCAGGAAAAGCTTGGGGCCAATGAGATCCTTTATGGACTGTCCCTTGCCTAGTGTCCAGCCACCCTGACTCATTGTTGGGGTTTCCTAGATATCCAGGCAAGTATGATTTCCTCAGAGAAGACTTTCTTGATCCTCAGACATGGTCAGGTTCCTATGATAACCTCTATTTTTCTTTGGAACAGGGTCTTTCAATCTGTAGGTCAGGTTGTCCTCAAACTCATGGCTATTATCCTGCCTCAGCCTCCTGAGTGCCGAGGCTACAGGTGTGTGAAATCATGGCCTGGGTGCCACCATAAGCTCTTATACACCAGATGCTTTTCCTTGTTAGTGCTGTCTATGGCAGTGCTACATTTCCCTGAGCACAGTGCCCAACACAATGCCTGGCTCACAGCAAGGGCTCAGTAAATATGTGCACCTGAGTGAGCAAAAGAGCAAGCAAATGGCGGGCCTGAGTGTAACTCAGAAGGACTTAGTGAAGACCTGGGAAAGGCTGCCTGGCTCTGGGGGCCATAGACCCAGTGCCCTTCCCCTTAATAGGGTTTGACTGGATACATGGAGACTCCAAGTGAATAAGTTTTCATTTTTTAAATTTTTTTTATGTTTTTGATATAGGCTTGCTAAGCAGTTCAGGCTAGCCTTGAGCTCACTTTGTAGCCCAGGTTGGCTGTTAACACACAAGGATCCTCCTGCATTAGCCTCCCAAGTACTGGAATTACAGGCGTGCACCACCATGCTCAGCTTTTTTTTTAGTACCAGGAACTGAATTCAAGACCTTCTGCTTGCCACACAGGCACTATGTCACTGAGCTACATCCCCAACCCAAGTTTTCATTTTAGTTGCCTATTATATATCATGAAGATAAGATATTGTTTTCCTTGCTGGATTTTCGACCAATTACCCCTTGTTTCCTATTTCTCCCTTTTGGAAAGTAAGTGTCTCTCCTATGCCTGTCTTACCATTGTATTAAGTTCACAATGGGAGGAGAATTTGCCTCAGGAGAAATCATGCCTTGGTTCCATTTATGAGACCCCTGACTTTTAAGTTACTGTTGGGATGGGAAAAAACTTTTTTTAAAGAGCAAGTACCCATTTCTGTTGAGCAAGTATTTTGTAGTGAACTTGCTAACTCTGCCTATGTTTAGCTTTGAGAAATACAGCTGGTGTTGCATGTCTGTGGATTCTATATCCTGAGATAGCCTCAGCTTTGGGTTGGAAAAAGTTGCACTTGTATTGAACATGTACAGACTATTTTCTTGCCATTAAT